CCAAGAACAGCAGACGACAAATCATCATGCACTGTCAAGTCAATTCTGAAACTTCAAAAAACAAACAAACAAACAAACCCAAGAACAGCAGAAGACCAATCATCATCATGCACTGTCAAGTCAATTCTGACTTGCTGTTGTTCTTACGTGCGATCATGTTCCCTTCGACTTATGGCAACCCTATGAATGAGCAATCTCCAAAATGTCGTGTCCTCAACTGCTATGCTCAGCTCTTGCAAACTCAAGCCTGTGACTTCCTTTAGGGAATCAGTCCATCTCTGATTTGGTCTTCCTCTTTTCCTGCCGCCCACCACCTTTCCCAACATTATTGTCTTTTCCAGAGAATCTTGCATTCCTATGATGTGCTCAAAGCAGGACAACCTCAGATTCATCATTTTTGCCTCCAGAAATAGTTCAGGCTTGATTTGATCTAGGACTCACTTGTTCATCTTTCTGGCAGTCCATGGTTTCACAAAGCTATTCTCCAACACCATCTTTCAAATGATTTTTCCCCCTCTCAGCTGTCTTTACTGTCCAGCTTGCACAACCATATGTAGTGATCAAAAATTTGAGTGTGTGGGTGATCTTGGTCTTGGTCTAGTTTCGCAAAGCTATTATCCAACACCATCTTTCAAATGCATTTTTTCCCTCTCACCTTTCTTTACTGTCCAGCTTGTACAACCATACGTGGTGATCAAAAATATGAGTGTGTGGGTGATCTTGGTCTTGGTCTCCAGTGACACATCCTTACACTTGACAATCTTTTCTAATTCCTTCGTTGCTGCTCTTCCAAGTCTCCGTCTCCTTCAGATTTCTTGGCTGCAGTGTTCATTTAGATTGATGACTGAAGGTATAGAAGAAACTCGAACTATTTCAGTTCTTTTCATTGTCAATGTTAAAGTTATGTAGTTCTTCTGTAGTCATGGTTTTTGTCTTCTTAACCATTCAACTACTTTGAGACTTTCTTCTTTCTCTTTCCCTAAAACGTTTCCCCATTTCAAGTCATTGCTGATTTCTGCCAGTACTTTGACACTTTCTTCTTTCTGTTTCCCTAAAACGTTTCCCTATTTCAAGTCATTACTGATTTCTGCCAGTAAGATGGTGTCCTCCGCAAATCTAAAATTATTGATGTTTCTTCCATCAATTTTCACTCCTCCTCCATCTGAATCTAGACGGCCTTTCCATATGATATGTTCTGCGTTCAGGCTGAACAGATAAGGGGGAAAAATCACCCTTGTCTAAAATTTTTACCTACAGAAAACCATTCTGTCTCTCGACCTTCTGTCTTAACAGTAGCTTCCAGGGCAGTCAAGTGCTGAATTACACCCATTTCTTTCAGAACAACTCATAGTTTCTCATGATATACACACAGTCAAAGGCTTTGCTGTCATCTATAAAGCATAGACTGATCTTCTGAAATTCTTTGGTGCTTTCCAGTAGCCAGTGGATATTTGCAATATTATTTATGTCAACCCTTTCCAGGGTTTTCCAGATAGTGGTTTACCATTACCTTCTTCTGGGGGCATCCTGGGACTGTGCAGCTTGCCCAAAGCCACACAGGCTGGCTCTTCCCCGAGGAGGCACAGCATGGAATTGAACTTCCAATCTCTGTCTCCTCAGCCAGGTACCTAAATCACTGAGTTATCCAGCCAGCTGAATATCATCAGACCAAGCCAGAAACAAAGTCATCTAAATAAAATGTCATTTGCTCATCTGACATGACTAAAGAAAGAACCTCATTTGGGGGCTATACAATACAAATTGCAATATTTAGTCACAATGTTTAAATTGGGAACAGTGTTGTTTCTGACCAGATTTGTTCAGTTCATCGAGTTCATCCGATTGCTCCCCTTGGTAGAAGGAATAATGCCCTTATTTAAAACAACAACAACAACAACTCTCCAACATTTTATCCACTCAAGGAGCCACATGTGCACCTTTGTTAAGTAAGTTTCCTCTTAAAGGAAAATTTCCTGCAGGTTGAGACTTAATTCTATTCTATTATCTGAAGGAATCTAATAAACCTTTAAAGTATTCTGTAAGAAGTGAAAATATTATTTCCTAAAGAGAAGGTTACAGTAGTTATATACTACTGGTTACACTGAATTGCTCCAGTCCTGCTGATGACTGCCATTCTGAAGAACTCAATGCAAAGGATTTCTGTGCTCACAATATACTGCGATTTACTAATTTCCAAAATCAATTTAACCTCTGGCTGCAAGTCAGCAGATTTCAAGGTAAAACATGACCAGGAATTAGTTCCACTAAGGGCTGTATTTCAAGACCAGACCAGAGTAATTTGTAAAGTAGAACTAAATAACAAGTCATTATTTACTCTGTGGCATTCTCTTAAGAGCCAGGTATTAGCTGGATTTCATGATGTGGCAGACTATCTCTTGTATGCATCTTTTCCAGCATGCTGAATTCTGCATTTTTACATGCAGTAAATTTTATGTTATGCCATAATAAGGGAAGTTGTGTGACTATTTTGAAAATTGCTTGACCATTTGTACTGAATATTCAATTGTTGTTGTTTAGTCGTTAAGTCGTGTCCGACTCTTCGTGACCCCATGGACCAGAACACGGCAGGCGTTCCTGTCTTCCACTGACTCCCAGAGTTGGGTCAAATTCATGTTGAATATTCAGTACCAACTGCTATATATATTTGCTTGAGAACTTATTGATACCTATATAGTCTAAAACATTTCCAAGTAAATGGTATCTTTTGATATCCTGCAACATTTTGAGGAAAAAGAATAGCCAACAGTTATTTGTTGACTAAAGAATTAACCCACATACTGTGTTCACATTTGGGTTAGGCCCACATAATTGCTGCAGACTATTGGAAGGAAGAGACATCTCACACACACACACACACACACACACACACACACACACACACACACACACACACACATTCAATATGAGGAGTCTGAGCACCTATTTTTGAAATCCCAACTTATTGTTTTTCGACAGTACTGACATAATTTTGGATTTAAAGAAGTAAAAACAAAAGGGCTATATACCCATAGGCTAACTTTCACACACTTGCACCAGCGTTCACATTTAAATTGACTGCCTAGCAATTCTCATCCTGCCATTTCCACAAGAGAGTATGCAAATTTTTGCTCAGACAGAATAACTCTGGACTTTGTATCATTCTGCTCACACAACACCCAATGCAAGACCTACAGCAGTATGTGGAGATGTGGAAGACTGGCCTTTCTGGATGCAGCCTGCTAATCTTCAAATCTTGATTATTACACATTCCTTGTGAAGCTCTACATGCAAAAACTATGAAATTCTGTCTCTGATGACAGCCACCATCACTTTCCTTTCTCTGAACGCTGCTTCTTCACAAGACTCAAAACACATGACAGGAACCATTAAAAGGAGCCATCCTGTCATTTAGTCAGTGTACTATAAAACTATCATTCTTTCTATACACCACTGCAAATAGTTAAACAATAAAAAATGACTTAATCCCACAGTTTAGAACTAAGATTATTCTAAACATTTATTAATTGGCATTTATTAATTCAAATATATAAAATCAAAAGTCTTAAATAATGTAAATGATGACTAAACCCATAGGGGGTGTTAAAACCTTGTATTTAACACATAATGATTATTTAAATTATCATTCAGTTAGTTTCCCTACATTTCTTCAGTTCAATGCCATACTTTCGTCAAAAGCAGTTGCAGACATTAAGAAAGGTATGAGAGATTTGAGAGGCATGAGAAAGGCATGGGAGTTTTGGGGTTATATGGGATCATTCTCTGGAAAAGCTTTATTCTAAAGCAGTGGTCAGGGAACAGGGGTAAATTACCCCAAATGGGGTAAAAATGAAAATCCTGGGGGTAATGAAGACAGTTGCGGCAATGTGACCCTCTTTATTACCCCCAGGCATTTTATTTCCAACGATACTGTGTGTAGGCGGGCATTCTGTCACAGGGAGGGCGAGCGCTGGTGAGGAGGCCCCCTTCCCTCCCCGCCTCATCTGAGCTCATGGCCGGTGGACCTGCCGGCCCTGTGGTGCCCGCCTCCCTTCACCAAGGACGCGCTTTCCTGGTGGCGTGGTGGCTCCAGACTGGCTGCTTGGGTGGCAGCCACAGGTCTCAGGCGAGCGCAGAGGCAGGAGGGGTTGGCTGCAGACAGCGAGAGGGGAGGGGCGGTGCTGGGAGGGGGTGGGGTAATGTTGGCATATATAATTTGGGGGGCGTAAAAGATAAAACAGTTCCCTGACCCCTGTTCTAAGGCATCCCGATAGATGATAAACAGTTTAAACAAATACTGTTGTGGATAAAATATTAAAGCAAACATTTCAGAGACCCTTCCTCTCAATGTAAATCATCTGCTTATATATTTCTGTAATGAGAATGGAATAATCGCCAACTTACATCCTAGTTTCATGGTTGCTTGTGGCAGAACATCATGGCATGTAACAATTATAACATAAAGAAGCGATCTGTCAGTAAATCAATAAAGATGTACTATCTTTTGTCATCTATTGCTAGACCTAATTCCCTATGGACATCATCAATACAGATTCTAGTCTGTGGGGATGGCGGTTCAGAGCATCATTGGCCTGACTTCGCTAACTCCCAGTCGTAGCTAGCAGAACATTCAGATTGCCAAATCCCACGTCTAACACACAACAAAAACAGCAGCAACAGCAGCAGCAACAACAATAACAACAAACCTTGGAAATCACCATGAATCCGTTAACACCACTAGAAACATTTACAAGCCTGGACATATTTTTTCTTATGCTGCACACATTGCAAGGTCATCAGGATATGCCTTACATGATTTCCTCATTTCAGGAACTGTTATTCCTGTTCATCCTCCTCATAAAGCAGAGCAAAAAAATAAAGAAGACAAAAAATGTGGCACATTAAAGACTAACTGCTATATTTTAAAGTGAGCTTTTGTGGACACATCCACTTTCTCAGTGAAAAAATAAAATTCAACATAAAGATTTTGTCTATAATCATACCTCTTCATAATTCTTGCTTAACCATTCCTTGATTGTGGTAAGTGCAATGACTCCAGCTGGCTCATTAGGAAAACCTAAGCAAAGGAAGAAAAAGGAAGAAAAACAGTTTGATACATGTGCATATATAAATACTATCAAATACAACAGGATAGCATGGTTCAGACTTCACTGACATGGTACCCTATAAATGTTTTGGAGGACCATTTTTATAGAGGTTGCTGTCCAAAACATGTTGAGGCAGTAAGTATATAATGCCTCGGTATTCAGATCAGAATGGATTACCTTTCTTAATATGGGAGCAAGTCATTATTAAATTGGACGCAAGGGGACTTACTAGGACTGGCAGCACTATCACTGAGTTTACTTAAGCTTCAGATCATTTAACATTTACAAAGGAAAAGAATCTACATCAGCAGCTGTATCTAATCATGAAAACAATAAAGCTGGACTAATATCTAATCAGGACAACAATAAAACACAGATGTATACAGTAGGCTGTTTATCAAAATCTTTGGCTTGGTTTTGAAACCACTTTTGAAAACACCGCAGCCTTGTGGGTAACTGAAAGTACAAATGCATGAGAGGGGTCTGGAAAAGATGTCAAAATTGGATCCATCAGTGTTACAGCATTCTAGCCTCTTGATAAAAAGTACAGTCCATGGGCACATTGTTCCAATATTTCCAGGATCCCAGAGACAGAGTCCAAAGATGACAAAAATCCCTGAGTATCATCCTTCCAGCAAGTGAGTATTGAGCCCTTTCCAACTTCATGATTCTATTCTTCTACGATCCATGAAGGTCAATTAAGCAAAATGGGCAGGTAGGACCGCATGATCTCAAGAGCAATAAACAACAGAGTAAGTGCTGCCTTATTATGCATCTTATGACACAGAACCCCAATTTTAACTTTTGAGCAGTTGAACTAGAACTGCATTATAAAAATGTGCATCAGTTTGGGAATGAAATCATGTTTCCAGGTCAAAGGGATTGAGATCCTAGAGAACGTGAAGCCACATAAGGGGAAAAAAGGATGAAGAACTCAGGATAGGTTGAGAGATAGACAGGCTAAGACAAAGTAGAACCTATAAAGTAAAGACCATGAAGCTTTACTTCCCTTTCCGATTTCTGAAACATTGAAATATTCAGTTAAAAGAGGAATCAAACTTTAAACAATCTGCATGCAATATTCATTATTTTAGGTGGAAACTTCATGGCAACATTTGTAAAACTTTTTTATTTTTTCCATTAATGGAGCATCTATGATGTACAGAGAAGAAAGTTAATTATCTGTTTTATGCTGTCTTGGAAAGGTTTTGCCTTGAAAGGTGGCATGTCAGTATTATAAATAAATAAATAAATAAAATCTAAGAGGAATTTAAATTACTCTCATAACCCCTTTGGCAAAGATATCCACAGTGCATTGTTCTCTTGCCTTTCTGCTTTATGGCTGCTTGATGATAAATTATAATGAATAGTACCTACGCCAAGAGTGCCCAAACAGTATTCCAGGCAACTAAAATATATGATTGTTTATGCACAGTCTATTTTCAAAAGAAACATTTTTCTTCCGGCAAGAATGATTCACCTTTAAAATGCTAATTTTACACCTTAGTGCCCTTGCTGGAAGCTGTGATAAAGCAATATACATACACAGAAACACCTATAAACACACAGAAGAGGATCTACTCTCCAGACACCCTATTGTTTGTTTATTCACAGACACAGAAACCATTTAAAAGAAAACTTTTAGAAACGTCAACAATTCTGAATAAGAAAAAGAGAGAGGGAGGGAGGGAGGGAGAAGAGGATCTACTCTCTAATTTTTGTTTCTAATTCTGTCTCACTGCAAAAAAGATTTGAAAGCAAAACAATATTCAAGCATTTCTGGGTGGAAATGTAGGGCTTTGGGAGAAACCGTGTTACAAAGCTAACTTTAGAAAATCCAGTGATCTAGCAGCCACTTAAAGTATTGGCTGCCTCATATTCTGTCCTCTTAGGGTCCTGCCTATTTTCATGTGTGTGGAGAATAACTGCTTAACCTTCTATGCATGGATGCTATCTCCTGTTAGCTAAAAGACAGCTGCATCGTTGGGGAGCATGGCTCATGTGCCTCAGAAGAGCTTTGGATGCTTGTCTTTCACAAGGTACAGCCACCACATTACAAGCTATGAGCCTTGCATGCTGAGTAGATGACCTTTGGAACTTGAAAATATGCACAACAAAGAGAGATTCCAATGGAAGCTCTGGGGAAGGAACATCACCACTGATTGGTGGTCAGACAGTTATTTACAGGACAGTAAATTGCTCTCTGTTGAGTCAGGACTTCAGTGCATCAAGCTCAGCACCATCTACAATGACTGACAGCAGCTCTCTTGATGTTCAGACCGGAACCGCTCCTTGACTTGATGATCCATAGGGTCCTTTCCACTTCTCCAGTTCTAAGATGAGGATGAGGATGATTTGGAGATGGCAGGCATTGAAATCGCAATCTTTGGCATGCCAAACACTGGCTGTGCCACTGAGTTATTGCTCTTTCCTAAATACGCAAAACCATGTGGACTGGTGACAACTCAGGTCTCTTGATTCCTCATCTGTCGGTCTGTCCACCGCCCCACCCTGTTGGACCCAAATAGTTACTGCTTATTTGTGCTGCTTACAGGAGTCCCATTAAAATGATGGGCATTGCAAAAGAGACGGGCAACAATTTAGTCCTTTCTGAGCAATGTGAGCTAAGCCCAGTGCAAGCTTCTCAGCCATTTTCACCCTTTCCCTTAACTTTTTTTTCCCCATCAGTCTTACTGCTTTGTTTTTGTCTCTGAGCTGTGTTATCACTTACAACGGTGTGTGTGGGTCTGTTCTCATCTCCAATAGCCTTTGGCAGAAAAGCAATCTTCATAAGCACGTGGGAATCAAATTACTTGAGTGAAATGAGCTCGAGGAGTCTCACAGGTAACCAATTTCTGGAGAAGCAGCTCAGACAATTCTAGCTAAAGGCTCAATTTCACAAAAGATAAAACAGGTAAAGGTAATAAGAGTGACACTGGCCTATGTTGCTGCAGTGAGTGTGTCTTCAGAATACTGAAAAGGACAAGGGCACAAGAAGCTAAGGTGCATTACCCAGCAGATACAAGCAAGCGACACAACAACTTAAGAGAGATCCATCTGATGAGTTGGATGTTAAAGGAGAAGCCTGATTTCTTCTACCCATGTGTGTCCTTCTCAGAAGAATCCGTCCTTTTAGTCTTAATGATTGGACTAGGAGGGCAGATTCCTCCAAGAAGTGCATATGCTGGCATCCCCTACTTCTATTCCTTCAACCAAACCTTGCAAGGAACTAATTCAAAATAAGCAATAACTTGTAACTAATTCCATTTTTTTACCTATAACTAATGCACAACTGCTCTAATTGCCTAATTATAGCAGTGCACAGCCTTACTTAGTATAGCACATTATGATGGCTCTTTCAAAGAGATCTAATGGCTTTAGTTACTTTTGAATAACAAGAAAGGAGACAGTTACTTTTTTAAAATTGCAACTCCACTATTGCAATTGTTCGGGAGAACTCAGAATCTTAACTAATTATTTTCAAAAGCAAGTTGTCAAACTCTGCCCAGCTGCCAATTTGGTACCACTGATGAAAAAAACATGCTTTTGATAAAACACCATTAATGCCTCTAGGCCTAGCTTAGAAAAGAGACATTGTACACTCTTTACATGTAACCGGTATGCTGACAATAAGTAGAGTGTGGCCGATAACTTCCAGTGGCCCAAGGGCTGCAAACACAACATCCTCTAAGTTTAGAAGGCCAAGCTCACCATGTGTCTTAGACACGTCTTGGAACAACTTGTACTTAAAAAGACCCTTCACAAGCTCTAGTTCTCTTTGAGTTTGGGAAGGGAGGAAATTCCTACCTGGTTTGAAAGAGACTGGGGGAACAAGACAAAATTGTACCCAACATTCTCTAAAAAATGAAATGGCCCCAATTCTGGGGGAACTCATGCAGGTTGTGGGCTAAAATATGCCCATCTCTAGAGTAGAGAATAGATCATACATGGCCTCATGCAAAAACTACCATTCACTGTGTGACAGGAAGAGATTGGGGCTGTGGACACAATCCTATTCCCTCCCGGCCTTCATGTGTTGTTCACATTAATAGGAGCAATCTTTGCAGAAGGCTAAATGCCTTCCCTTCCTCTGTTTCATATGTGGCAGCTCTGCAATCTTATTTCCCTATAACCAGATGTTCTGTGTTTCTGATTGTGGAATGAGAAACTGGAAAGACCAAGTCTCATCTACCCTTAAAAGACATTACATGCCTAATTAAAACACAGAATATGAGCAACAAAAGGAACAGGTTACTTACCTGTAAACATGGAACCAGCGCAGGCGCTGTTTAACCCATCAGTGTGGATTCATAGAGAACCACGTTAAAGAACTATATACTTATCCGGCCCTTAACAAGGAAAAGTGGAAGAAAAAATTTATACCATTGTTTCAGTAATTTTTAGGTTGTACAGAAATGCTAAGGTTCTCATCCCTCTCCTCTTGATTGTGCGTGTGCATATATATATGTACCTCTATCTGTATCCATATCTACATAGGATCAATTGTAAGCAGGGAGTGAAAATTCTTACTTGTTTTATCATCACTTAATACACCTACAAAAAAAGCCATTAACAGATATCCAGGCAGTGTGTGGCTCACATTTCACATGATGCACTTCAAGAAAATGGAAACAGGCTATTTCTGCAAGCGTAGAAGATTAAACGGGAAAAGTGCCAGGAAAGAGATTCACTCCAGTGCATTTTAATGATGGCACAATGGAAGAATGGCATTCTTTAGGCACTTTTAACTGTGAAATCTAGTGTTGCCTGAAAGCCTAGCTACACGAGTAAACAGGTACGGATTGGTGTTTGCTAACATAATCCATCTGCTGTATCACTTTTGTTTTTCTTCAGGCTCTCTTACCGCTTCCAAGTACATCTTTCTGACCTTAATACAGTTATTTACATGTTCTAATGCGCTACACAATGCTTGTATTGAGGGTAATTCATAAAATGGAACTGAATACAC